TTTTCCCTGTGCCATTCCACATTATTACAAATAACTTCATTTCTGGACATTTATGGTTTGATTTCTTTGTATGTATGGATCACTTGGGRTGTTACCAACATCTGGTGAAAATTTCATGTCATTAGCACTTCTAGTAATATATTTACTGAGAAAAATGGTGACGTGTTCAATACTTAATTTACCCGCTGAATATATACTGTATATTTTTAAATATTACTTTTCCCCACCTTTTGCACCAAATTAATCTGAGGAGTTGATCAACTCTGCTGTTTAACTAAGTTTTTTCTTCGTAAGGAAGACTGTATCAAATGGTTTCGCCAAAATCCGGTCCACAACATTCAAACTGTCTGCCATTATGTGCAGCTTGCTACTGACATGAGGCTAGAGTGAAGTGTGTCCGTCTGTGCGTGCTTTGTGACGGTGAAAGGGCTCAGCAGCAGCCACTGGACAGAAGAAGTCAGAAAGAGTGATAGAAGTCTGTCTCCAAACATAAGCAGCTACAAAACAACCTCCAGAAATAGAAGCTCGATTTGTTGCTAGTCGTTTTTAACAAGAAAATACTGCTAAAAGGATTAATAAAGTCTCCAGTTCAACTCCGAACAGAAAAGAAAGTAAAAAATGCTCCCACGGAATGTTTACACCAAAAAGATTGCTGATTCGCTCATTTCTCTGTCAATCAAAAAGAGATTCAGCCTCTGACAGATCATCCAGTCATCACACAGAAGCTGAGCGTCTGGGCCAGCCCCCTGTCCCATACAACCCCAGAGACGCTGAGCGTCCGATGGGCGGGGCAAAGCCAGCATTTATCCAATGATTCGTCTCGTTTCGCTGCAGTCTTTGCATCACTAATGAGCTCTGTGGAAGCTGAGCGTCCGACTGTTTAAAGCACTGTGAAGCTGCAGGAATGAGGGAGAGGAAGGCCGCGTCATTACCAGTGATAAGAAGCTGATTCTGAGCAAAAGTTCAGCATGTTGTAGCGCATATTTAGTCAATGACATGTACACACAACAGTATATATTWGATCTTTTTTATTTTTTACATTTGAAGCTAAGCTTTCCTTGCAGTCAGAACAATCACCTCTGCTAAAAACGCTGCTGCTTTGCAGCTGCATCCCCATGCTCTGCTGGCTTGGACCCCTAAAAAGTAACACATAGTCTGTATTGGCTTTGTGATTGCAGAGACATTTTCTCTGATATCTTACTTWACTGCCTCGATTGAAGTTAGGTTTAATGGGCAGCAGTTTATTATGGCTGCATCCAGTCAACATCTAATAAATCCAGTCTTGAGCTTAACGACAGACACAGCTGGTTTCCTCTTACCAGGTC